TTTTTCCTTCTTTCTCTTTCTTTTCAGACAGGGTCTCACTATGTAGTCCAGGCTGGCCTTGAACTCATGGTGATCATTCTGCCTCAGCCTCCTTAGTGCTGGGATTACAGGTCTACACCAATAGACTGGGGGTTCTTTGTCACTTTCTGAAGCAGTTCTGGAAGTTCTCTTTCACAGTGAATGTTTCTGATGAGTGCCATCAATAAAAGGCACTCCTGTAACAACATTATGGTGTGTCCTCATTCACCTCATTCACCAGCTCTGGCACTGTATGACTTCTGGCTCTTCCCCAAAGTCAAAATGAGCGTAAAAGGTAAATATTTTGAATCAATTCAGGACACAGAGGCAGCCACAACAGCTCAACTAAAGACACTCACAAATGAAGACTTCCAGAACTGCTGCAGAAAGTGGCAAGAATGATGGGATAAGTGTGTTTAAAGTGTGGGGGAGTATTTTGAGGGAGACTGATGGCAATGTGTCTTTTATTGTAATATATGTTTTAAAATTTAAACATTTACCTGTCATTTGATCGTGGACTATGACTCCCACCAGAGAGAAAGCTATTTGGCCCAGTCCATCAGGGATGACCAATGACCAGCAGGGGCTTACAAGCTACTGACACACCAGGAGCTACAACTCCCAAATTTCAGTGATGTGCTCCTTAGAAATGTAGCTGGGAGGTATACAGGGTTAGGTGTGGAGTGACCTCTTCCATGAGCCTCTGACACGCTCTCACCCAGCGAGAAGAGGTGATGGGAATTGCGCAGTGGCTGGGGTACTGTGGGAGCATGAAGACCAGCTCTGAACATGACCAGGAGAGTGTGTCGGAAAGGGTAAAGTCCTGAGGCTCATGACTTCAGCGCAGTCATAAAGAGGCAGGAAGAGCTTTCCTAGGCCATGGAGTCGGGAGACCGGAGTCTCGGTGCTGGCTCAACCAGTGTGTCTGTGTGTGGCTCTGGGTGCATTCCATCCGGGCACATTAAGTAAAGTTAGTGTCCACTTCCTTTGCCATGAGCAGGGTTCCCAGCTGGGGAGGGAGCCAGCCCTCCCAGGGGCTGCAGGCAGCGGGAGGTAATTCCAGGCCAGCAGGACCTGGGCTGTTTTCACAGCTTCTGCTTGTACCGGGAGGGAATCTAGAGCTCCAAACTCTGTTTCTGTCCCTACAGGTTTGCTGTCACTGTTCTTCAAATCTCACAGTGTCCCCATGGTCAGGTAAGTGCCTGCTGACTTTCTTTAGGGTGTTCAATCACCTCAACATGGCCAAGCTGCCGTGTGACCTGGGACAAGCCTCCGTCACCCTCTGAGCCCGTTTCCTCATGTGTGCAAAAGGGGAGCTGGAGCTGCTAAAGATGCCCCCGTTCATGTAGCACCTGATGCCATCAAGGTGCCCCTTCACACATGGGTGTTCTCTCAAAGCAGCCCCCCTTGGGGGGAAGTCCATTGCACCTACTTTATAGTGAGGACATCGAGGCCCAAGTGTACTAAACACACATAACTCATGGGAAGCTGCAGAGTTGGAAGTTGAGGTCAAGTCTGGCTGACTCTAAAGCCTATTTCTTTCTGCTTTTTGTTGACTCAGTTTCTCTTTCTATAAAATGGGAGGATTAGGCTAGATGAACTCCTTTTAATGTGGTCATGCATTATCCTTCTCAGAGTGAATAGAATCTTGTTCATCTCTTTCACCCTGGACCTCAGGAAAAGAAGCAAAATTAAAAAGGGGGTATCACACTCTACCCAAAAGAGCTACCAGGCAGATTAGGGGGGACCCAAGGAGGTCCCATGGGCCTAGAGCCTACTGGGGCCTTCCCAACCTTTTCCCAGGCTCAGTAATGAGAGGACTAAAGGGATGTGATAAGGGGAGGTCTGCTGGAGTCCAGTTTGGAAAAAAGGCTCAGAGGCTGGGCCTTCCCTCCATATGTCCACATTGGAATTGAGAGCACGTATCTGGCAGACCTCTGCCCGGCAAGAGGCTCCCTCCAACTCCAAGGTCTGAGAGTCTAGGTCACAGCATTTCCTTTGGCAACTTAAAGATCTGTCAGTCTCCAGAGGGGCTTTTAAAATACAAGGCAGTCATGATTAGTTAGGGGAGAGGGTAGGATCTTCCTTCTACATTATTCAGAGTCACCAACGTTGACCTGCTGTGCACTAGGCTTTGTCTTTGTCATTAACCATGAAGTCCTGAAGGCAGCTTCTGACCAGTGTTAATGCTGTCCCCATTCCACTGATCAAAAAGGTGGGGCTCAAGGGTAATGTGACATCCAGTTAAAAACTACACGAAGTGAACCCAGACTAAGAAAATGAGATTTGGCCTCCTGTTTTCAGAGGTCTTCACTGAAACATTATTTTTAAAAATGAGACACTAGGAAGAATCTAAAATGCCAAATATTAGTGGAAAGTTTCAATAAAGTTTGGTTCATCCAAATAATACACTATGATATAGCACTAAAACTGATGCTTACAAATTGTTTATAACCATGTGGGGAGATGACTGTTGTACAAGCAGACCTGTGCATTTGGTACAGTCTCAATGTATAACACGTATAGATGAAGATGTAGATGACGGACACTGAAATACTAACAGCAGTCAAGGCTAAGCCAGAGCACTGCTGGAAGGGATGAAGGGAAGGTGGGAGCCCCACTTTTCAGCACGTCTCTGTCCTGTGCCCCAACATCAGAGCATCAGACTCTGACTTCTCTTGGAGAGAACTGTGACTCTGGAGATTGTGAAAGATTAGTCACAATATTATTTGTCTTAAAATGATTTTTAAAAAGCATTTTCAAAATGAAGCTGACAATACGGAAAGACTATGAACACCATCTTGACAGACCTACTACTTCTCCATCAGCTCGGGCGGCTCTCAGTCTTGTGGCATTATAGGTTGTTTCCTTCCTTTCTTTCTTCCTTCTCTTTTTTTGCTTTCCCTTCCTCCTCTCTTTCCTTCCTTCCTTGCTTCCTTTCTGTTCTGTTTCTTCTTTCTTTCTTCCTCTCCACTTCTGCTTCCTGTTTACTCACCTCTGTCTCTCAGTACCTCACTGATATTTTTTTAAAGGAGCATTTAATTTCCTAATCAGAAAAAAAAAATCCACAAAAGCTCTTTACATAAAATAAAATGGGGATCCAAAGATGTGTATGCAAGGCTTCCCCCCTGCTATGTGGGGCTGCAGAGCAGGGATGGTTGCTGTCTTCAGAACTCGGAGAGGGATGGGCTTTGGTGGGAGCTCTCTGGGCAGAGTTCTGTCCCCAGCTTCACTTGGTGGCCTCGACCTGTCCTACTTGACCTGCACCCAGGGCTCTGCTTCTGTTGCAGTTTTTGGGGAGGTACGAGGCCCTGGTGTTCTACTGGCCATCACTGCTATGCCTGGCTTTCCTGCTGGGCCGCTTCCTGCACATGTTTGTCAAGGCCCTGAGGTTGCTGCTGCACTGGGAGCCCCAGGAGGTGAGTACCTGTGCTACCAGGGCTCAAACCCTCACAGAAGTCCTGGGAGGGAAGTGCTATCATTACTTCTCACATTCTGGACTCAGAGTCTCAGACACAGAGAGGTGAGTTGAGTGGCCTACAGTCACCCAGCAGTCTGCTAGCAGAGCCAGAGTTGGAACCAGAGGGTTGAGTTGTGTGGCCCCTCTCTTACCCTGTCATGTAGAGCCTGTCTGGCTTGGGACAAATGACTCCAGCTTGGAGGTCATGCTGGGGTCAAGAGAGGTCCTTTTTTCTCCTTATACTTTGCTGTTGAATCAAAACTTGGGGTTTCTGTGATTCAGGGGCTTACTTGCTACAGCTTTAGTCTCCACATCTCCTGAGTTTGAATGAGCTATGAATGGTTTGTTTCATTGACCTTGAGTTTTTGTTGTCCTTTGTCCTTATCTTTTCAAAATGCGTACATGATGGTCAGGACAACATAGGTTCTCTTATAGTAACAAAGAAATTCCCAAATTTCGGTGACATGATAAAAGTTCCTTTTGCACTCTTGATACACGTCATCAAGGGTATTTGGGGTCTTTCCCTCATGTTTTCCTCACTTGGTGACCCAGGCTGATGGAGTACCTTCTATGGGGAACATTACTGATTGGCACAGACAGAGAAGGATAACATAGTGAAGTACACACTGGCTTTTAAAGCCCCTGCCGTGATTTTACATCCACTCAGACATTTTCTGGGCAAGGCCACCATTTAGCCACACGTACCTTCAAGTGGGTGAGAAGATACAATTCTGTTGTGTCTTGAAGAAGGTAGAAACAGAATGTTTCTGAGTAGCTACAAGGCTTAGCATCAGGATGATAACAGTATGCAGCTGCTTAATAAAACAACAACAACCAAAAACAACATGAAGGTGTTACAGTTACTACATATAGCTTCAGAACTTTTCAGACTTCACCACGGAAATCAAGTCTTCCTATACTTCCCCCAAATATAATTACTGGTAAGACACTGCTTACAAAATATAAAAAGTTTATCTAAATGTGGTGCTTCTTGCAAAATATAGAAGTTTATCTAAATATACTCTTTTTAATGAGAAAAAAACTATGTTGGATATATTTGCTAAGACTGAAGAAAAGAAAATTTTCCTTCAATGAAAGGATAATAACCATCACTTAATGGATCCTTGTCCTGGACAAGCATTGTGCTTTGTATGTAGTGTTTTATTTAATGCTCACAATCACCTTCAGGAAAATAGTATTTTCTCCATTTACTGATGAGGGACCTGAAGGGTAGGGATGTGACTTCCCCGAAGCACACAAAAAGTAAGAAGCCAGTCAGGATTGGAAGCTCTTATGGGCTGCACCAAGCATGCTGGGTATACAAGAGCTCACAGCAAGTAACATTTACATTTTAAAAATATAGCAAAATAAGAAGCCACTATGGAAATCTCAGGGCACCTGGAGTAAACATTTCAAAGTATACCATTAAATTATATTTTAAAAGGTAAGAATTTAGCGAAAGACTTTCCTGTTCACATATAGCAAAAACATTGGGATTTGAGGTGTATCGTTCCTGATGCAACAGCTTGAACTCTGACAGGAAATGACCACATCTCCCAGGGAGAAAAGCTTTACTGTCGTCTTTGGGAGCCACAGAGCCAAGGACAGCCAGGCCTCTGGCATTTCTGGGGAGGAGGTTCTTAATGAACAGGAACCTGGCTCCTGTTCCTTCCTCCAGAAATACAGCTGGCTGAGAATGACTAAATCTTGTATTCAAATTCCTGCTCTCTGTGGCAATGACCCTTCCAAGAGAACAACCTCAGAGCCAAGTGTGTAAGCCAAAGCGTCTCTGCCTCTTTTCTCATAGGAAGAGAAGCCTGTGCTTCTGGAAACCCACCAGGCCAAGCACGTCAAGCAGCTGCTGAGGAAGGCCCGGCCCCAGTAAGTGCACCACTAGCCCTTCACCCCAAGGGAGACCAATGCTGATGGACAACCCTCCCCACCCCACTGGGTCTGGAAGGAGTGGGAGGGCACTGACTTGCTTGCTTATAAAAAGAAACCAACCCAAATTGGACTAAAGCAAGAGAGGAGGCTGGCAGGCTCACGTCTCTAAGCAGTTGAGCAGAGGCAGCCTCAGGCCAGCTGGATTGAGGGGCTGCTTACTTGATACCATCAGACCTAGGTCTCTCTCAGGTCTTGTTCTTTTTTTTTTTCCTCCAGTACTGGGAACCGAACTCATGACCTTGCACTTGCCAGGCAGGCGCTTTTGCCGCTGAGCTAAATCCCCAGCCCCTCAGGTCTTGTTCTTAAGTAAGGGGAGATGAAAGCTGTGAAAGCTTCCAGTACTCTTTTTCTACATTCAACTCCAAGATGAAGAAGAGGAGATGGTGGTATTTCCAGATGAATGGGGCATTTGTGTACCTACCACAGCCTCTTTTCTTGGTATTTCTTCATTCACAGAGAAGGGAAAAAGTCTTGGTTTCAAACCAGGGTATATGAGTGGGACCCCTGCTTCCAGTTCCCAAGCAGAATGATTGGAACCATTGTGTTGGCTTTCATCTGCCTGTACCTTGTAAGTAGCTCAATAAAAATCCTTTTATATTCTATAAATGGAGCACGGTGAGAACTGGGGTCATAGAGTCTTTAAGGCAAGCAGTACGTCCTAAAAATGTATTCCAAATCATTTGACATGCAAATGATTTGCATGTCAAATGATTTGATATAGAAAAGATTTGATATAGAAAAGACTTTAGAGATAACAATTTGTGTCTTTTTTTATTTTAAAGACAATAATAAAAAACTGCAGAATTTCAAAACAAGATGATAGCAAATTAACAATGGTTATTACATTATGACCCTCTTCAACTGGAAGTAGAGATAACAATTTAAAAATTGCTTATAAAAAAAATTGCTTATGATGATAGAATTTTTAATCAGTAAACCATGCTGTCAACAAAAGTCAAATCATTCAAATATAAAATAATTGATCCTGATAAAAATAATTTTAGTGAATTAAAAATAAAAATGGAAACCCATCGTGGTGGTTTGTGATTTTAGACAGGCTGAAACAGGAAGATCTCAAATTTGAGACTACCCTACACAACCCAGTCAGACATTGTCTCCTAAGAAAACTAAAAGGGCTAAAAATATAGCTCAGTGGTAGAACTCATGCTCAGTGCCCTGGGGGTTGAATCATCAGCACCATAGAAAATAAATAAACAAACAAAATGAAGTATATAAGGTCGAATTAGTTTATGGTACTATATTTTTTAATGGATCAAAAATCAAAACATCTTATTTTAGTTTCTTTTCTCACAAAAAAATTTAAGTGGCAACATAGTTCTGACTTCAGTGTTTTACTACATATCAAATGAAAACATTTTGTAAGGTCAAAGTCATCTGAGGTAAAAGTCAGAAGCATTATCTAATAGTGGGAATAAAATAGTAGATAAAGCCTAATTGTCTTTTGCGCACTCAAAATGTACTAGAATAATACCTATTTAAATACATCCTATGATTTAACTTTTAAGGGAATGT